GCAGCGTTGGTAAAGGAAACAATGCTGGAACAGGGGGCTATGTTGCTGGAAAGAGTAGTAATAATACCGGTAGCAGCGTTGGTAAAGGGGACAGCATTGGTAAGGGGAGCAATGTTGTTGAAGGCAATGGTGTCGCTGTGAAGCTGAGTTAAATATGGAGGGGGGGGGGGGGGCATCCGGAAAAGGCTCCAGCCACGGCACACCCAATCAGCCGCCCGCTTCGCCTAAGCTGAACAAAGCCCCCGTTCGAATTTCCCAACTCCAAACAACAGTGATAAACAATCAACCCAGTCAGAGTCACCATAAGGTCCCCAGGCTCTCCGAGCTGTCCGCCAAGCTGTTCGCCAGGCTTCAGCGCTTGTAAAGAAGGGGCCAAACGACCCCACCGCTGCTGAAGCCGCCGCGAAACGCCCTCGCTCGTCTCCGCTCCCAGTGCCACCATAAAGCCGCTGCACTCGCCGCCAAGGGTGCCCAGCCGCTGCCGAAGCCACCGAAGCCGCCGCGGAACACCCTCCGTCGTCTCTGCTTCCACCATGACCATGCGGCCGCTGCGGCCGCTGCGCCCGCTGGCAAGGACGCCCAGCCGCGTCGGAGAGTCTGAAGCCCCAGATCGGCAGGAGGTATCGGTTTCCCTCAACTCCTGGCCCGCATAGGTCCGCTGAATTCCTGTCATCCCGGAGGACCCTGGCAGAGGCGGTAAGAAGTTGGCTCCACGGGTTCCAAAAGCTTTTTCCGTCAGATCTTCCGCGACGAAGGAGCCTTTGGGAGGTCTGAAAGAGATGGGCCTAGTTTGCAGTAGGCCTTCCAGGGCCCCTCCTACCCATGAGGCATCCTGTGGTTCATTTAACATTCTGTGTGGTTGTTTAATGATCAAGAAGAGCAAGGGTAGGGGTCACTAAGTGAGGCAATCATGTCATTATATTGCTTAATGACTATTCTGACTTTCAACTGGCCAGACTTCTCTATGGTCATAAGTCAAGCACTACCTGTACTTGGTTTTAGGCTCTCGGATGCATAATATGTACAAACAAAATAAAAATATTTATGCCCACTAGTAAAACCATGAAACAGTTGAACATGAAAGTGCAATTTTCTTTTTATGCCCAATATAATTTAATTCCAACATATTTTCTCCCACTCCTTCATATCGTTGTGGTTTTCACTTCAATTTATGAAGCTGGGCATCTGTTGGCTGTTGACATTTAGTAATGACATATTGCATTAGCAACCATAGTGAACGATGGGTTTGCTTAATGACCACAATGTTCACTTAATGACATGAAATTTTATGTTCATTGCACTTACTTAATGGCCACCAAAAAGGTTGTAAAATCAGGTGTGATCACAAAATGACTGGATGAACAACCATCATGACTTACTATCATAATTCTGGGCTCAATTAGGATCATATGTCGAGGACTATACATAACATATGTTGGGTCTCAGCTCCAACAATCATAATCTGTTGGTGAAATTTCCATAGGAATCTGTCTAGACATGATAGAAAAAAGAATGCTAAATTAGATGGATTTTAAGACTAATTCATAATGGTATGTCTTATAAAACTAATCAACATTTGGATTTTTATCAGTTATGCCATCTGGCATAAATTGGACCATCTATCCTACTGACAACCCTATTCAAGTTTTCTGGGAGATTCTACCTACACAATATAAAACACAAACCCTGATGCAACCTGCATTAGAAAAGGTCAAGGACATCAGAACTTAGTTGCTGAGTTCCTATTCAAAATATACAGTACTTGAGATTGAAGCTACATTTATATTCCAGAAATGTTCTAAAGATTGTTCACAAACATCTCTTCAAATCAGACCACAGCGGATATGCTGATAAATACAATGAAATTACCTGTCCAAGGACAACACTTTCTGCATGCTGTAAGAATAGGTAATTGTTTTTAAACATTATTACTTATAATTTGAGCTGTGTGTAATGCTATATAAGTACCATGTATATATTTCTGACTTTAGAAATTAAAGAAAATTCTTACCCTTTAGAGTCTGAAATAAAACGATAGGACTGGCTATGCTGAAGTAGAACCAAGCAATCTCTCAGATTTTCATTTGCTAGGGTTACGAGAGAAAGCTGGAGGGTACACATAGGAAGAGACATTTATATTGCCATGGTTTTGGTGTTGATTAATATTCATATTATTATACAATTTATCAAGTGAAATGTATGCCTATGTATCTCTCTCTCTCTCTCTCTCTCTCTCTCTCTCTCTCTCTCTCTCTCTCTCTCTCTC